TTGGAAAAATTAAACATTGATGGGAAAGATCTAAGAATAATAAAGAATATGTATTGGCAGCAAACAGCAGCTGTAAGAATAAACAACTGTTTAGGTACATTTCAAAGCATAAAAAGGGGTGTACGACAAGGATGTGTACTTTAACCTGATTTTTTTTCAATATACAGTGAATATATAATGAGATCTTTAATTGATATGCCCGGAATCGTGGTTGGTGGGCACAATATAAACAATTTACGTTATGCTGATGACACAGTCTTGATAGCAACAAGTCAGAAAGAATTACAGGAAATGATAGACATTGTGGTGTTGGAAAGTGGAAGAATGGGCCTCAGTTTGAATAATGGGAAGACAGATGTAATGGTGGTATCAAAGAAACAAATTATTCCTAAATGTTTAATACAAGTCAATGGTGTTATTTTAGGACAAGTACAGAAATTTAAGTATATGGGCACATGGATAACATCAGATGGAAGATGCATAACTGAAATAAGAAACAGAATTGGACAGGCAAAAACTGCATTTTATAAAATGAAAAACATCTTGTGCAATATATCCTTGTCATTGAGAGTTAGAAAAAGAATTCTTGCTTGCTACATACATCCAGTTTTAACATATGGATGTGAATCCTGGACAATCGGTAGGCAGGCCAAACAATTTTTAGAGCCCTCAGAGATGTGGTTTTACAGAAGAATGCTTAGAATACCTTGGACAGCCAAAAAGAGCAACCAGGAGGTTTTGAAAGAGGCGGGAACCCAAAGACAACTTATCACAGACATCAGAAGGAGACAGTCATAATTTTTCGGCCATGTTATCAGAAGAGGGAAAATAGAACATGTTGTGACCACTGGAAAGATCTGTGGAAGGAGGGATAGAGGAAGACAACGAGAGATGATGCTTGACAGTCTTGTTGCATGGCATGGAGGTGTGTCGGCACACGAACTGATACATGCTGCAGGAGATCGCAGATTATGGAGAGGCATGATCGCCCACGCCAGTCGGCAAGGCACCTGATGATGATGATGATGTACACTCCTGCTCCTCCATTTCTGCATTCGATCGACCAGGTTCAGTCTACTGCGAGCAGTATCGGCTATAATTGCGGTCTTTGTTCCAATTATGTTGGCTAAGAAATGATAATTGTACCAAAAGAATCACACACTCACACACACACACACACACACACACACACATATATATATATATATATATATATATATATATATATATATATATATATATATATATATATATATATATATACATATATAAAACAAAAGTTGGAGGTCTGCACACCCACGTGGAAAGTCACGTATACGTGTTTGCATACACACACATGTATATATGCACACTCGCGTGCACACCCACGTTTCCCTACTAAGATGATGATGATGACGTTCAACCCCATCAGGACATCACACTGAACGACAAACATCCGGTGACATAAAGTGCCACCATGCGGTGAGGATCACTCGGGGACAGGTCCAAGAAAACCAGATCAACCCACAGGTTGGGTTTTTCACAATATAACGTCTAACATGGGATGCTGTGTGTAATTGTCCTACTAAGGAAGATAACCTAAGAATTTATAGACACGTAGTCCTGCCAAAGTAGTTCATTTGATTTTCAAATTAACATATTAATCGATAATGAATTTAATGTCCAATGATAAGCAAGCATATTTCGGCATGGATTATTCAAATATGACACGAAATGTCAACACTGATAAATGCCTGCCTGCAGTGTATTGAAGAAATATAAAGTAGTTTACGCCAAGAGCCCTGCAAATGAAAAGCTGTAACTAAGGTCGGAATTTTGGTCTCTTTTTTTCTTCTTCGAGTTTGTCAAGGAGGGGAAGTAGCTCCCTCGAGCGAAACCCCTTATGTTCTGAATAAGTTAATGAGTGCGGATGTCCAGGAAAGATCAGACACGCTACATGGATCAACTGTCAATTCTGGGTGTAATTGGCTGAATTCTTGGTTACTGGGTGAAAGAAGCTGTGCTTACATGATACAATTTCTCCTCTGCCTTTTATCACTCGAGGACTCAGTAGACAATCCGAAGAAGAAAAAAATGAATAAAATAGTGATTATACAGGACTCAAATCTATTGCCTATCTCTGGAATCCACAAGGTAAAAGCAAAAGAGGGATACGCCAAAAAGCACACTCTAGTAATCAGAGACAGAAAGGGGTGATACGTGAAGAGTCTTTGCTAGCGACTTATTATGGCAAAATAGGGCAGATTTGAAGTTAGATTCAGCCCTTGTTCCAACTGGGAAGTATATTTTTTTTTTTAAATATACTTTTTATCTTCGATAGAGATTTAAAATTACAACGCATTCATTTAAGAAAAGCCCTGGTGGTGGTGGTGGTAATAGTAGTAGTAGCAGCAGCAGAAGTAGTAGTAATAGTAGCAGCAGCAGTATTAGTAGTAGCAGCAGACGTAGAAGTAGTAGTAGTAGTAGTAGTAGTAGTAGTAGTAGTAGTAGTAGTAGTAGTAGTAGTAGTAGTAGTAGTAGTAGAAGTAGTAGTAGTAGTAGTAGTAGTAGTAGTAGTAGTAGTAGTAGTAGTAGTAGTAGTAGCAGCAGCAGCAGTAACAGTAGTAGCAGATGCAGTAGCAGTATTATTAACAGAAACAGGAGTATAAGTTCTAGTAGTAGTATGAGCAGAAGTAGTAGCAGTAGCAGCAGCAGCAGTAGTAGTAGTAGTAGTAGTAGTAGTAGTAGTAGTAGTAGTAGTAGTAGTAGTAGTAGTAGTAGTAGTGGTAGTAGTAGTAGTAATAGCAGCAGTAGCAGCAGCAGTAATAGCAGCAACAGGAGTAAAAGTACTAGTAGTTGTTGTTGTTATTGTTATTATAGTAGTAGTAGTAGCAGCAGCAGCAGTAGTAATAGCAGCAGTAGCAGCAATAGCATCAGTAGCTGTAGTAATAGTGGTAGCAGCAATATTAGTAGTAGCAGTAGCGGTTGTAATAGCTGCAGCAGTGGAAATAGTAGCAGCAGCAGTATTATTATTATTATTAGTGGTAGTAGTAGTAGTGGTAGTGGTAGTAGTAGTAGTAGTAGTAGTAGTAGTAGTAGTAGTAGTAGTAGTAGTAGTAGTAGTAGTAGTAGTAGTAGTAGTAGTAGTAGTAGTAGTAGTAGTAGTAGTAGTAATAGTAGTAGTGGTGGTGGTGGTGGTCAGGGTTTTGGTTCTTTAATACAAAAATGTACCAGTGCTCACCACAAAGTATCTACTACAGCAGTGTTGAAAAAACATGATGCTTCTGAAGGATTACGGAATATCTTGGACAGATAACAGGACATGCAAATCAAGTTTGTTAACACGCCTTCTCTACCATTTATTTGTATGGTCAAACAAAAAGCTTTCGGGTAGGAACAAAAATTAAAGTTTGTGAAGCTTGCGTCCTGAGCACGCTCCATAACGGCAGTGAAACCTGTACTCAGTATGCTCCTCAAAAGAAAAGATTGAATACCTTCCACGTAAGCTGTTTGAAACGCATTCTTTGTACATCATGTCTCCCCAAAGAATGTGTAGTCAAAAGCGCAGGAATGCTAATAATGTACTTTGTACTAAAGCAAAGACATCTGCCTTTTTTGGGACATGTCTCTCACATAGAGGACTGTAATAGGGATAAGACCTACAGGAAGGCCAAAACTACGCTACTAGGATACATGCAAACAAGACCTGAAAGATATCAATTTTGATACATACACTTGGGAGAGATCAGCTGCAGACCGACCTCTTTGGAGGCAGACAGTAAAAAACGGTCTTTTGCAGTTTGGAGGAAGCCGAGTACAGAAAGATATAGAGAGAAGTCTGAAATAAAACCAGCCTCAGAACGGAAGTTTTTATGTGGGCTATGTCGCAGAGACTGTCACTTTCGCATTAGACTGCACAGTCATAACAGAAGCTGTTGTCATAACTCGTTAGTCCCCAGGGACTGATGGTTACCTACTACTGCTACTACTCCTAACATTACTACTACTACCACCACCACTACTACTAATACTACTTATTCTACAACTACTATTAACACTAACACTACTACTTATACTACCACTACTACTAACACTACCACTACTACTTATACTACCACTACTACCACCACCACTACTATTACTACTACTACTAAACCACCACTACTACTACCACCACCACCACTACTATTAGTACCACTACTACTAATTCTACCACTACTACGAACACTACTACTACTACTACTACTACTACTACTACTACTACTACTACTACTACTACTACTACTACTACTACTACTACTACTACTACTACTAAGTACTACTACTAGTAAGTACTACTACTAACTACTACTACTACCACTACTACTACCAATACTACTACTACTACTACTGCTACTACTACTACTACTACTACTACTACTACTACTACTACTACTACTACTACTACTACTACTTCTACTACTACTACTACTAAGTACTACTACTACTGCTAGTAAGCACTACTACTATTAACTACTACTACTACTACCACAATAATCTGGTTCTACATACTAGCTAACCACTAGAACTGGCCCTAACACAAACTCTCTAGCCCACAGCTTCAGCCTACGTCCCACACGAGAGAGTGCAGCGTACGACCCTAGAAGCAACGGTTTCTGCTTACGAGTGAAAACGCAATGTCGGCAGCCGCTGCTCACACAACAACGATTAACACACAACGCAGAAAGATTTCAAAAGACAACAGTTAACCGTGACACCCCTCTAACGTAGACTAATTGTCACAAGCGTGAGCAAGCGTGAATGAAAGGTCAGCTAGTGTGGAGCTGGGCCCGATTTCGTCACTAAGACCTATAATCTCTTTACATGTACTTTGTAGAAGAGGAAGAAGGAGAGTTAATGTACCTGGTTGCTTATGTGGCCAGATTCAGCAACCTCGCAGGAGCAATAATAAAATTGAACCGAGTTTGGCCTATCAAAACCAGCCCATTCAGGAATATGTGATATGTTTTCAGAACCGAGAGGAAGTGGTACGATATCGTTCGTGTGCTAGTTTCAGGATGATAGAGGTGTATATCTTTTCTCATGTTCTGTTGTTTATTTAAATGTTAACAAGCGTACCGTTGACTGTAGCTTTACGACATCCGTGCATTCTATTGCTTTTGTGACTGTGAAAGGTCGTATTTAATAAAAGCAATAGCCGTGTTTTTTGTTCACATTATTACTGTCAGTCATATGATGTTTGTTCTCTGTGAGTTTGAAGATGTCGTCTAACTAACTAACTTGTCTCCATTGTCCATTCTGATACTAACTATATAATGAAATAATATGATTAGATTAGATTTATATCATCATAACATAATTGCAGTAATGAAGATATACTGATTCTTCACTGTAATTACTTACAAGTTATATATATTTTTTAAATGTCATCCGGTTATCTTTGAATTGTTTTGTAAATAACAAAATTATAGCATAGTTGTTGTTTAGTTGTAAAACTAAATGTTCTGAGTTATCACATGACGATATGATTGGCATTGATTATAAATCAGTATGTCATTCTTAGATTATTTATTGAGCAACGATGTGTGGAATGAAAAATGTTAAAATAGTTTGCTTAAAATTTAAGTTGAATAATAAGAATTAGGCTCTACTTTCAAATTTGGCCAGTAAGCTGGACTGCTTCGGCCGGCTTAGTGGGAGTTATGGCCCTTCGCCAAACTCAAAACAAGTCGCGGAAAAAGTCACGAATCAAATGACATACTTACCTATCATCATCCGGGTGCGTGTAGGGTTGCATCGGTTGTGTATATCATCGTTCTACGGTTGCGTGTAGGGCTGCTTATTGCGTGTAGGTTGGTTGTTTGCGTAAGATGAGGGGTAGGTTTAGGGTTAGGGGTATGGTTCGATTTGAAAATGTTCACGTAGGAGGTCAAAATAGTGGCCGACAATCTGACGTTTGTGGGAGTGGCGCCACTGAAACTCTGCCAAATATGACGCCGTAGTTACCTATAATCGGGCACAGTCGTATGCACGCGCAAACAGTCGACGGACGGTGGATGCTACTGACACAGACAATTCGCCAGCGACTGGGCACCAAACGCCCGCTATTGACGTCATATTAACTCTATGAATGACTGAAACCAGTCTGCTGCACAACTTTCTCCATCTAACTTTTGGATAAATCTGATAAATACTAGTTTTATTTAAATTTGAGGCTTCTAAAGCCATAAATAATGTTGGCATATATGTAGAAGACTGCTTGGCAGCTATATTGTTTTCAGACAAACAGTAACTCGGTAAACCTTCAAAAGTACTATATTTTAGGCTTTTAACCACATTTCCAAATAAAACTGATGGGTCGATACATGTGTTAATAAACACAGAGAACTAGAAAAGAAGTTTCAATTGTCTAGTTCACAGTTTTATACTGGTCAGTAGTAAATTTAAAACCTGCTCACATCCTGTGCCATTTGGGGCACAGGGTGGTAGCCAGATAGTGAGTGATACTTATTTTGGACTCGAAGAATTAACCACAAGTCATCCACATTAAACCAGCTGCAAAATATTCAGCTGAAACTGGGTTGTGTAACTTGACCTTTACAACAAAAATTGTGAATGTGTGAGGTCATGGATTAGGATTAAATCTTCCATACATCCACTGACTCAGCTGACTATCTAAAACACATTCATGCAGTTTATTCTTGAAAATTGTGTTTTGTGGATGATTTTGTATTTTTCAAAAACTCACAGTGCAAATGTTTTTTGTTTCATTATAATGAATGTATGTCAATTCTTTAACGTTACATACAATCATGTCCCCATGTTTACCCGCCTAGTATAATATATGTTTGTATTTAACATTAAACCACCCAACCCCCAGAATTGAACCATGCAACTAAATATAAGATGTGCAAATTCTTCCACTACTGCACCGTTACTACACTGCTGCTATTGCTGCAATACTCTCTTTGTCTCTCTCTCTCTCTTTCTTTCATTCTTGATTTCTTTAATTTTTTATTCCCCTTAATCCCCCCCCCCCCCCCCACTGCCTCTCCTTCTGATTTGTTGTTTTTCTGTAATGTCTACCACAGCTATTGTCATCCAAAATAATATCATGTTTTTTATATCTTGTATTTTCCTTTTTCTTTCTGTTTGTATATCAACAGGAATTAAAGACATATCTTTTCAAGTTAATGGCCACGTGAGTACAGAATTAAATTTACTTATTTTTCTGATCCTACCTTATACAGATTAGTGATATTTAAAAGAAAATATAACTTGGCAGGACATAATTGCAGTATGTAATATTGTTTTTAATTATTTCCCATCATCTCGAGCAACACATGATATTTGATAAGCGTTTTTTTTCATCAGCATTATGGGTTGATATTTTAAATTAACCGATTTTTCTAGTCATGTGTATGTGTTCCATCCCTACCTCCTAATTCAAGTGAGAAAACTGGGAAAGTTGTGATCAAAGCTGGGATTATTTGTTGTTCTGCTCCAGTTACAAAACATTAATTGAGTAGGGGATTCCTACAACTAGTATATGCCTGAGCACACAGTATCATAAGCATCCTAGCTAGCATCGTCCCCTTGTGGGATGCAATTTTTTGTTATTTTGAAGTCCCACCCGGGCTTTTGCAGGGGGCCCTAAATATGGCCTTATGACTGAACGGGGTTTTCAGGACCTCTCCACTGGTGATCCTCATCCCCATGGTGGCACTTTATGTCACCTTGTGTTTATCGCTTGTGTTATCACCTAGACATTAATTCCTTGTTATATCACAAGGCAGAGTGATGTAAATGTTATAGTCACTTACGACACTAGGTAGGAAGGTAAGTTGTACCCCACCTGGTGTGAAATAACAAGGAATTAATGTCTAGGTTGTAAAGGGTAGTTCTTGATGGTATGTCCTGTTTGGTGATTATGTCCTTTCTAGGTGCCTCAGGACAGTCAGCCCCAAAATTACTTCATTTGTCTTCTTACTTTTAAGATTGATCAGAAAATACTTCTATTTGAATAAAGGTGGCATACAGTAGTTATGTTTTTTAATTAATAAATTTTTTTTTTAATCGCAGTGTTGTAATTTTTTTCCGAACTGAAACTGTAACATAATTTGATACATATCAATTTATCAAACAAAAAATTGCTACAAATGTAGCATCTATAACAGTAATAGCAGTTGGTGAATGATACTTTATGTAGATTTGAGCAAAAATCCCTATAGCAATATGCACTCTTTTTTGAATAAATATAATGCACTCACCAGTAAAAAGATTTTTTAGATTGTATATGGGGTAAGAAAAAGTTTATATAGAGCCTGTTGGTAAGTGTGAGACCTGAACAGTTGCAAAACAAGTTAAGAGAAACATTTAACGACAGCAGAAATGTGTTTCATAGGAAAATGTGAAGTATACCATAAGCAGAAATAAAAACAGAGTCAGTCCTGTATAAAGCATGTGGTGAAACAGGATTCGATTGCTAAGTCTGTATTTCAAGGAACATTGGTGGGTAGTCAGTGAAGAGAAGGGCAAAAAAGAACCTGGAATGACAACATAAAGAAATGGACAAGACTAAGTTATCATACGTTTATTCGCCAAACAGAAGACAAAGATGACAGGTTGTATGTGCTAGTGCTTCTATCAATAGGCCTCCATGACCCTGATGGTTCAATGGTTATGCTATATTATGTATGCAAAGCAGATTAAAAATAAAATTATTGTTTTGAAAAAATAGACTATCAAGAATTTTTGGCATGTGAAATACAGATGAAAACCTGGCCACAACCTGTAAATTTGATGGTGGTTTAAAAAAAAAAACAGAAAAAGAAGAGATAAAAAAAAAGTGAGATAAACAGATAAAATCTGCACGTTCAACACCAGGTTCCCAAAATGCCTTAACTCTTCACCCTCAAAATGACTGTTGGCAAGCCATGTTGTGGTTTCTTACATCGAGGCTTTCAGCCGATCACATCCAATTTCAGCAGAACCCTAATTAATTACTTATTTTGACATGCTTACCAGAGTCCGTGGACCTGACACCCTTCCCGTAGGATCCCCGGAACCCCCACATGGAATTAGTGATCCTATAAGACACATAGTATACCATGGTCACTACCTTACTTTGCTATAGAACTTGGCACTCATATTATGAGAGTTTGCTGACTTGAGAACTCTTCATGTTTAACTACTCAGACTCAGAGTAAAAGACTTTTGGGCTTGTGGGCATGAACCACTACACCAAGAACAGAATGAGTTAAAATAGCACAGGGTGAGGGATGAAATGAGAACTAACATGCTGTGTTTTATTTTGCAGAGTGGATGGTCTTCATGCCATTGTCATCACTGACAGGGATGGGGTTGTCATTCTTAAAGGTATTGTCCTGAAATTTACTGCTGTAACTGTATCTTGTTTTGGTTGCAGCTTGTACTTCTGTTTTAAATATATATATATACTAGCTGTACCCGGCCACACGTTGCTGTGGCATAGTTTGGCTAAATTGAAAAGAAAGAAAATAGAAATCTTGCTCAAATCAGCATGCGGTGTTCGCCTGGATAAAGTAGTGCGCATTCGAGCGGTTTCCAGTCTTGCTTTCCGTTGCTCGATTGTTTCTGATAAACGGACTTGAGCAGTGTGTACTCTATTGGTTTACAGTCTTGCTTCTCGTTGCTCGTCTGACTGAGACGATCTAGCTTCAGCAGTGCGCACTCGAACGTTTTCTAGTCTTGCTCTCCGTTGCTGGTCTGATTGAGACGAATGGGCTTCAGCAGTGCGCACTCGAATGGTTTCTAGTCTTACCTCTTGTTGCCTGTCTGTTTCTGAAGCAATTAATGCCCTTCTCTTGCATGTTTTAGGTGTAGATGGGCCAGTTGCTTGTCGTTTGGGAGGCATAACTGCAAATTTTGAAATAGTGAACAGCCTGTGAATTTAGAGAGCGTTGATCGTCAATAGCTTGTTCGTCCTCACGCACTGAATGAAATGTAACTTGAAGTATCAGTGAAAAAAATGCAAATGTGAGCATGAGAAAACATTCTATTTCGACTCAAGTTGGTAAACAATATAAATAGGTGTCCAGTGTAGCAGTAAGATTTGTGGTATATATGTCTTGCGACTGAAATATTCGACCTAACTACAGACTACCTGCAGTTGACCTGCGACGGGATTTCGTGTAAATGTATGTAATTCATTTGAATAATAGGAGAAAGCCAACCGAAATTGTGTAGACAGGTAAACTGTAGCAGTCGTTAGGGGAGGCATAACTGCAAATGTTTGACAAAATAGTGAACAGCGTGTGAATTTAGAGAGCGTTGATCGTCAATAGCTTGTTCGTCCTCCTGCGCTGAATGAAATGTGACTTGAAGTATCACTGAAATAAATGAAAATATGAGCATGAGATAACAATCTATTTCGACTCAAGAGGAAATGCATAGATACTGCTCAGCAAATATTCTGAAAAGCCAGTAAACGATATGAATAGGTAGGTGTCCAGTGCCCAGCTTAAATAAATGAAAATATGAGCATGAGATAACAATCTATTTCGACTCAAGAGGAAATGCATAGAAAATGTGCAGCAAATATTAAGAAAAGTTAGTAAACAATATGAATAGGTGTCCAGTGTAGCAGTAAGATTTGTAGTATGTATGTCTTGTGACTGAAATAATCGCACTCGAATGGTTTCCAGTCTTACCTCATGTTGCTCATCTGTTTCTAAAGCAATTAATGCCCTTCTCTTGTGTGCTCTAGGTGTAGATGGGCCAATCGCTTGTCGTTTGGGAGGCATAACTGCAAATTTTTGACAAAATAGTGAACAGCATGTGAATTTAGAGAACGTTGATCGTCAATAGCTTGGTTATCCCCACGCACTGAATGAAATGTGACTTGAAGTATCGCTGAAAAAAAATGCAAATATGAGCATGAAATAACATTCTCTTTCGACAAGAGGAAATGCATAGAAACTGTGCAGCGAATATTTTGAAAAGCCGGTAAACGATATGAATAGGTAGGTGTCCAGTGCCCAGCTTAAATAAATAAAAATATGCGCATGAGATAACAAACTATTTTATAACTCATGAATAGGTGTCCAGTGTAGTATAGCAGTAAGATTTGTGGTATATATGTCTTGCGACTGAAATAATCAACTTAACTACACTCTACAGACTACCTGCAGTTGACCTGCGACAGAATTTCATGTAAATGTATATAATTCTTTTGAATAACAGAAGAAAGCCAATTAAAATTGTGTAGACATGTAAACATGTAACAATCATAATAGTACGCTAGACAGTGTGAGAAAGCCAACAGATAATGTGTATACATTTATCATTGCGTGATTTAAGGAGTGGTCCACACATGTTTGAAGTTGACCCCAAAAAAATCTACATACTGACTAATGGTAGTGAAGTAAATGCGCTTACCGTTTGAGATATTTCTAGATTCCGCAGGCAATTGTTTTCCTTGCTTCTTTTCATCCGCGGGAAGTAAATGCGCTTACCGTTTGAGATATTTCTAGATTCCGCAGGCAATTGTTTTCCTTGCTTCTTTTCATCCGCGGGCGGATGTTAAAAATGAAGTGTTACTACTGCGCATGCACGGTGAAAGTCAATCGCGCATGCGCATATACTAACATGGCTATAATTAAATGTCACTAAAAATTAAAATATTAGTTTCGAAGATTTTCCCAACAATTGTCGCACACTATCTCTAACAATGACAGGTAGAATTTCAAACCATAATGGGTAAACATCCGGTATCAAAACAAACATATCCTGAAAATTTCAGCTAAATCGGTTCAGTAGTTGCCGAGTCATAAACAAACACACAAACATTGATTTTTATATATATAGATATACACACACATATATATGCATATGTATATACAAACACACACACATATATATATTTATATATTGTATATGTTTTTATAGTGTCATTATCATTGTTTATGTTTAACACTGCAGTGTAAAGAAAAGGAAGTTTGCAAGGGTGTTTTAACTCCTCTTTGGTGTAAATCGGGTAAGCGATCAGAAGAAGAAGGAAGGTGTTTTCTTGACAAAGATTGTGATTGCTAATTATCTTGATGTCTTTCGACTGTAATACATTTGTTGTGGGAGACAGAGCATCTGTCGATATGTCTGGTATGCTGTGTTGTTGATCCTTAAATTAGTAATCAATTGAGGCCTTTCATCGTAGTTTACTTCTCATCCTTTTTAGGATTAATTTTTTTTTTTTTTTTGGAAGCCCTACTCTGGCTCTTGCCAGAGGCCGCAATATAGCCTGGCCATAAATATGGCCTAAAGGCTGAACGCGGTTTCTGGGACCTCTCCACTGTGATCCTCACCCACATGGTGGCACATTGTGTCATCTGGTGTTTATCGCTTGTGTGATGTCCTGGTGGGGTAGAAAGTCAGTCAGTCAGACCTTTCATCTCCCAAGGGAGTATAAGTCCACAAGCCACCCATGTTGAGCTCATTGCAGACTTGTTTATGATTTTTTTCGTCTTCACATTCAGCGGCTGTAAACTCTGGCGGAAAGATGAGGTTGTTCGTCCACTTGTGATGGACTTCAGTCTTGTTCAGAAGCTTAAGTTTTACGTTGACATCCATTTGGCAAATCTGGCTTATCCGTATGCTGACTGTTAGTTCCTTGCCTTTCAGACAGATGCACTCCAACTTCAAAGGAAACAACCCTAATTAGTCACCTTGTACAACATGCTTGTTAGGGGGCAGCGGATCCGTTCTTTTTTCTTTCCTAAACCCCAGAATGCCCGGCTCGCTATGTCTTATACATGGATAAAAGGACAAATATGGTGCTCAGGACTAGTGTACTTTGTTTAGTCATCCATGTTCAACTCATGGCAGCTAAAAGTCAATGCTTGACTGTTTCTTAATGATAGAAAAGCAAATATATTGAACAAGTGAAAGAAACATTTGCTTATAACTAGAGTAAAACAATTGGAAATGTTTTTCTAACACAATCAATTGATATGTGGGAATAATTTCATTTGCGTGTGAAACTAATTGTCATATATCTTTACCTTGCTGTGTATCTCACATTTGTTGTGTTATTTCCCAATTTTCTTTTTTTAAAGAACTTGGCATTATTTGTCCTCCTGTGTGTAGCAACATGGGACAAATATTTTAGAGCCTTTTTCATTTCTTTAGCTCCCGTTTTTTCTCCATTTCTAGCACCTATGTGCAACAATGTTGGTGTTAGCTCGTTCTACTTAGTTTGGCCTTATGCATGCCTCAATCAAGCCGTAAAGTCTGGACACATGAACATACCTTCAAAACATGATAAAGTTGATATCGTTTATTGTGGCACAACAATAGATCATTCCGTCAATGTCCACGTTTCTCCCTAGTCGTTGACACGTGCTAACGACAGCTTCCCACGACAAGACGACAGTTAAACAATGGTTGCAGTTACCTGCCAATGAGAACGTTCCATTTGGTGGGGTATTGGCCTCTGAATCACCATAACACAAATGTTCACAGAACACTAGATGTTGTCATTCAGAATCATTCTCCTCAGGCACTCGAGCTTTCCAAACGCTGTTCCTCCAGTTCACAATGACATTCACCTCAGTCATACCATCAAACAGCCTACTTCTCACACAGTCAAAACACAACTGACTGTACCTCCTCTCTCCATTCAAACCTTCCGTTCCAATCCCATGCTTTTCATGTAACTCCTGTTCACAAAGCACAGAATAATGGAGACATGCTTTTCTCTTGTTTCCCTGGCCATCTGACCTTGTCCCCTCAATTGGGAACTCTCTGGGGTTTCCCTGGGAATTCACCTCATTACAACTGGCTACTTAATGTCACTTGTCGTCTCTGTGAAGAGAAGCTACTTAACACTGCTGGCTGCAGTGCCATGTGTTTGAGCACACCCTTGTATCTGGTATCAAAAAACAAAACCACAAATAATTTTGTTGCTTTAGCTTAGCATAGTGTAAGTATTGAGAACTAGTATATAAATTCACCAGTATTTTCCTACATTTGTGTAATGGAACAATCATATAACTTTGTTGTTGTTGATAGGTTGAAATAATGCTAGGTATTATTGTCCTCAGTTGCAGACCAAATGGCACCTGATACTGCACTACGACCTGCCTTTCTATCGGTGTTTGGTGTCATGACAGAACAAGCCAGCAAGATGGGCATGGGGTCTAATAAAAGGATCATCAATTATTACGACAGATATCAGGTAACTAGGCTGAAGATTCTCCCTCCGATTATGTAGTCTGTACTAATAGTTTCCTTCAGTCATACTGTCTGGGCTAGGAGCCTGCATCCAAAAAACCTTTCTTCTGTGCCTCTTAGTCTCCTTTTTTCAAGTTCAAGGTGATTCCTAACAGTGCATCTCTGTATGTTACTGTCAGCAGTTTAATCTTGAGTATAAAAAGTAATCGTTGCTCTTGATGTCCAATTTTTGTTGCTGCCTATCATTCATCAAGCACAAGACCAAGTTATCACATTCTACGCAGTTTAGAAGGAAAGGCATGGCCTTTCATTTGTATTAAAGCACTTCAGCATTAGTTACTTTGTCCCTCCAGAGATACTGAGCATAAAATGCAAACCTAAGTGGAATGTGAGCAAACAAATTAAGAACATTTTGGAGGCAACTGAGATGTTGTTCTTGAAAAGAATGTTGCGAATAACTTAGACTGCCATATTAACTAACAATGATTGCCTGGAAATGGCAAATAAAAGTAGAACATTATATACAACACTGAGAAGGAGACAAAAAAAGTAGTTTGGTCATGTGATGAGAAAATGAGCACTGGAAAATATCAGGATGACTGGAAAGATCACTGGTAGCAGAGGCAGACCAAGAGAAATGATGGTGGATGGCTTAAGACAGTGGCATGGAGGAATATCATAAATAGAATTGATTTATTATAAGAAAAACCGAGGTCCGCAGATGCATGAATGCCTACACCAACTGGCAAGGCCCTTGAAGTGAAGTGGAAAGTAGCTGTTTTCTCTTGCTGGACATCAATGGTTCAGACTTCACTACTGTATAAGAAAAAGCTCTGACACAGACTGTATGTACCATCATTTGTTTTCACCATCAGATTAAAATTTTTCCATTCATTTTTTTGTGAGGCACTGAATGGCTGCAGTTTTGGTGACATAATTTTTGTGAATATCTGTGTCCAGAGTGCATCTGCCATTGACAGCAGAAGTAGAGTGCATAAAGTTTTGCACAGTTTTCAATTTGTAATTATCAATTTTAATATGTGTTGTCTCTTTGTCCTGATTTACTATCAGGGCAGTGTGTTTACATGCTAAGGAGAAACAGTTGACTACAGTCTGGAATTTTCTCAACTCTGGCTGACCACTGCAGCACCATCAGCCGACAGCAAGTTCATATGAACTCCATGATTTTTGTCTTTACGTGCCTTGAACCTCACCAGATTGAATAGTTAGCTATGTGCGATCTAATGTGGAGTCAGTCTTTTCGTTGCACTCTCAAATAAATACACAGGGGGAAAATGCAGCAGAGGAAATTAAAAAACTAGAAAAGTCCAGAGTTGCTAAACAGTGTCATATTTAACACTTTTGCATCATAAAAGGTTTGCAGATTGCCACTATACTAAGTTGCTTCTTTTATTATATTATTTAATGATGGGTCGTATGTGGCATCTCAAAGGGACAGCCTGTTGTCACGAGTTTAAGGAGCGAGCATCTTTGCTGATTTGATCTGATAACATTGAGAGATTAGTGATGATATGCTGATATACATTTTATATAATACGCTCGTGAGAAATATCTTAAAGCTGGTGAAGGGGGAAAATCATTAGTCCATTGTCCTTATGTCTTACATATCATGATTTTAAAAAAATTCTCAGGTCAAGTCCTTATAAGACAAGATATTTTCTTCATTGTATAGAATGTGTTGGCCTGCTCTGTTACAGTGAAACTGATAGATATAGTTTCCAGTTGCGTACTTTGGAAGACGAGGCATAAACATGAAATCTGAAACATCAGAACACACACAGTCTAGGGCTGGAGAATGCGATTAAAAAGATAAGGGAGGACAACTGAGCTGCATGCATAAGCAAGGGATAGGACGTTACTTGGTTGGGGGCCTGTGCTCTATGGGGTTTAAATGGCAGAAGTGGAATTGAATCAGTTCTGTATAATAATTTGTCTTAACCCTGTTACATTACATTTTATGCAGTGTGTGAGTTTGGTGGTGAGGAGGACGTGTAGTCGCAGGTTGTTTTGATATTATAACATGAGCTGCTTTTTTATTGTAAAAGGAGATTATTTATGGTTATCACTGCTACTCATCATCATCATCAAATGCCTTGCTAGCATGCAGCTGACGTAACATTCATGCGTCTCCGCATATCTCGGACTTCAGTGTTCTGGATCAGTTTCACTGCTGATATTCCTCCGTGCCACTGTCTTAAGCCATCCTCCATCATTTCTCTTTGTCGGCCTCTTCTACCAGTGATCTTTCCAGTCATCACAATATTTTTCACTGCTCTTTTTCTCATCACTTGACCAAAGAACTTTGTCTCCTTTTCATTGTTGTATATAATGTTCTACTTTCATTTGCCATTTCCAGGCATTCAGTGTTGATTATTCTGGCAGTCCATGTTATTCACAACATTCTTCTCAAGAACCACATCTCAGTTGCTTCCAAACTCTTCTTAATTTGTTTGCTCACATTCCATTGCTATATATATGATATTATTTTTTTCTTCTCAGACAGTGCAAGTCAATAACCACCCCTTACTCCTGCATTTTATTGCTGACAAAAACGCCAACACAGGTAGGCCTGCATTGGTTTTATTTTGATAACACACACTGTATTCATATCAGCTGGAGGATTTCAGTAAGAAAGGGGACAACAGATCAATAATAAAGACTGGCATCATGGTGTGAAAAGTTACTGATACATGGAGTGATTAAAGGGTCAATTCAAGAGGATCGACTTCATTGTACTGTGTTTTATTCCCTATGGCTCGGTCTCTTTCCACAGAATGACTGTCCACCTGCTGAGAGAATTGCACACAGTGCACAGACTCTGTAACTCCAGCAATGATCCCTAAGGATCTCTGTAAAAATTGCAGTCATGAACTGAAGGGTGCAGCCGTAAAATGAATGCATGACTTTCAGAGGGCGAGGCAAGCGGCTTGACCACTTCGCCACGGAGACCCCTAGAGGAGTGATTAATAACCATAAAACTAAGGTTCTGGTGAGACGTGATTACTAAATTGAGTGTATTTTCTTTGTCTCTTCATCCAGTTAACTTATTGAAGTGTTTGGAGGAGATGCAAGGGTCTTCTGTGTGTTCTTTCTAATGCACATCACTTGATTGTAATTTCTTTTTAAATCCACACTTTCCTCTTGCTGTGAATTGGCTTCCAGGTCGTCCCAGGCTTTTATGGGTACGAGGTATGAGCAGGCAGATAGACTGGCCAGCTCTGCACCAATTAGTGGTGAACTGATGTATGACAAGCTGGATGTTGTGAGGGCCCTTTGAGAGTGAGTGAACAGTGTTGGGAACAGATAGATGGTTCCTAATTTTTAACGTCCCCCAAACACGAAATTCCTGTGGGAATTCCACAGCTGACTTGACAGTCCATTATTTCAAGGGGTGCAAGTGTGCTGCTGTCTGCTGCTGTTTTTGAGTGTTCGTCTAGTGTCTTATGGTGCGACATATTTCGGCGGTCTGTTGATGCGCATTTGGCTGCTTGTTGATGCGCAATTGGCCGGTCTGCAATATTAGTCATGTTTTTATAACATGTCAACATATGAGTGTATAGCGTAGTTGGTATCACATCTGCCTCATAAATGAAAGATACAGCGTTCAATACCGACGTGATGCTTTTCATCCATTGTGAATTTCTTTTTTTTTTTTTTTTTTTTGAAATGTAAATTGTGTGTGTGTGTTTTTGTTGTCACAATGTTTTTTTAAAAATAAAATGTAAATTGTGTGTTTTAAAAATGAAATGTAAATTGTGTGTGTGTGTTTTTGTTGTCACAACGTTTTTTTTTTTAAAAATAAAATGTAAATTGTGTGTATGTGTGATTGTTGTCACAACGTTTTTTTTTTACTACATGTAAAATGTGCACTTTGGCTATGTGAACTCTATGTGCAATCGCAGGAAATGCCAATTGGGGTACTGTGGGGGGGGGGGCCCCTAAAAAGGGCCAATCATTCTACATGAAAACTGCTGGGTTCACGCATGAATTGACAATCACAGAGATTTTACACGTTAGTAGATCTGGACTGAGGTCAAACTGCGGTGGCAGAAGAGACGACGGGCTAGTAGTCTTGCGACGGCCAGAATCTAGCTATGTCTGCTAGTATGGTTTCAAACATGTCGCCACCCGCACGTTGAGCGCACCTGTTGAGCGCGCCTGCGCCTTGTTTCTCTCCTTTGCCGACCTCCACAAACGTTCGATGCATTGCGTATGAGCACCTGTGGTGGGGTCGACAAAATTAATGGAGTGATTGACGGTAAGATGCGTCAATCCAGGAATATTCTCAATTCCATTGTATGCGCGCCACATGTCGGAAACTACTGTCGTTCCGGGTCTGATGTTTGCGCTAATGATCGGCAGAAGCGTCTTTGCTTTTCTATCTGGGACGCAGACCTGAATGCATTCGCCCGTCTCGCGACAGACTCCGCCAAATACCCACTGTTTTGGGAACACACGTCCAACATGATTTTTACGTCTTGCAAAGAGACTTTCATCGATTTCAACAGTGGTGTTCTCTCCGCCGATCACTGCAGGATTCAATACCAATGTATTGGCACAAACCTCCCTTAAGAAATTGCTCCATTCCACCGCTGCAGTCGGCGACATGCTCAGCTCTACTTGGCAAAATCGAATGCTTGTCATCTCGTGAGACCAGCAGTATATAAACAGAATGATCTGTCTATATGGGAGCCGTGATCCTTCCAGCCATGTTCCTTGGCGCAGAGGTAAGTATACACGACAAGTGGACTTTCTACAACGCCAACGGTCGTGTCTTTCAGACAGCGATAGCAGCATCTGATGGTTGTTTCTGCAACGTCTGGTTCTGTGCAGAATGCCATGCTGTTGCAGTAAGGCAATGCTGCTTTCTTTGTCTTGTACAGATGCAACTAGCTGTAGAAAATTCATCGTGACTGCTGCAATGGCAACTGACTGACGCGGCAAAGAGCGGTAAACATACGTCATCAGTGTTGCCACTTTTATTTGACAAAAACATCCAAAACGGAGTAAAAAAAAGATCTTAAAATATCAAAATTTGCGTGGAAAACATCTAGAAAAAAAATCCAAACGGACAGAGTCACAAATTACATAGCTGTTAATATGATTAAAATGGGTAGCATTAATCTGTACTGAAAAGTAAATGTGGCCAGTGTAACAGCTACCACATCACCCTTAGAGTGCCAGTACTACTGCTGCTACCACTACCATCACCACCGTCACAACAACAACACAAAACGGTCACTACTGTCTGTACAGGTCGTTGTAAGTGTGCCCCCGACATAAAACTCCATCACCTAACCATGGGCGAACGCAAGGGGGGGGGGGGGGGGGGGGGCACTTGCCCTGGATTGATTGAAAAAAAAAACGGATGCTGTTGCTTGTTCATCTGCAGCAGCAACGCTATCACCAGAATCAGACCCGGACAAACTTGAAAGTGGAGATACTATGTTAACCTAGAACATTGGACTCTGTGTAAAATCTACTATGAAGATTCGATCTTAAGCTCAAGTATCGTTTGCTAACTGATCCATACAAGCCTCACCCGTCATATGATTTTGAAGGCGACATGTAATGAAGTGGAAAACGTTGTTTCAGGAAATCTTGGCTAACCCAGTATTCTCTATGGTTATCATATTCACCAAGGTTAAAAAGTGCTTTTTGCATTTTCTGTGGTTTATTTCCACAACCAGTTCAAAGAGGAATTCAAGGTGCCTTTATTACTACTCCTTGAACAAAGTACAAAGATTTTAATGAATGTGCCAGAAACCATACCAGCTCAGCATGGCATCGTGGGTCTTAACAAGATGCTGAACACTTCGCATCAACCATTAGAGATCCAAAAAAGGATATAATTTGTCAGATAGTTAATTCCGTAAAACGAACTATTGAAGAAAACAGAAAGAAACTGTATCCTTTTATTTCAACAATCTAATTTTGCGGAACAAATGATTTGGCAATTTGTGGGAAAGATAGCACCAAAGGAAATGTCGAACAACTTTATACGTATCGAATTGAGGGAGGAGACAGTATTTAAAAAAAAAACATTTTGATACAGCTGCTGGAAATGCATGTTACACATCACACCGAACGCAGAATGGTTTGATTAATTTGTCTGAACAAGCTCTGCGAGAAGACATTGTAAAAGCTGCTAACAATGCTGTTGGATTCTCGATCATAGCCAATGAAACAGTAGATATCTTAGGAACAGAACAGTTATCACTGGGAGCGGTTTGTAGATACGTCTAGTGAGAAGGCTATGATTCGTGAGGAATTCCTTGGATTTTCTCCGCTGAAAGGTGTGGACGCCGCCACGATATCTGATTGTATTATTCAACATTGCAAAACATTTGGCCTTCTCCTTAATAATCTGCTGGGTCAAGGTTATGATGGGTGCTCGACAATGGCCGGAAAAGAAAATGGTGTTCAGGCAAAAAATTTGAAGTATTTACCCCAAGGCTGCCTTTGTTCACGGTGCCTCACATATACTGAATTTCGTTGTAAATGATCTTAATAATGTTGCAGTGATACGAAATACTATTAGTACTATCATAGCAATTATTACTTTTTTGTGAAAGCCCAAAAAGGAGGTCCTCTGTCCCAAATATTCCTCTTCTGTGTGAGACAAGATGGACAAGCAAGTATAAAAGTATTCAGATTTTTTCTAGTAAATTTGCAGACATTTATTGTCAACTGGAAACATTTTCATTGCATGCAAGTGGAAATACACGACAGGCCGCACATCAGTTACATTGTTCATCAAAGTCCAGCACGTTTTTATTTTGTCTCAATATTATTTCTCAACACTCTGCCATACTAGAACCAGTTACTCAGGCTCTTCAAGCTGTTTAAGTTGATCTTCCAGAAGTCCAACTGCAAGTTCAAAACCTGCTCAGTGTAGTAAAACTTCACCGAGGTGATTCCGATAACTATTTCAGGGACATTTTTGAGAAAACACTACAACTCGCACAGAAAGTGGATATTGAACTGATTATCCCAAGACAGTGTGGAAGACAAAAGTATCGAAATAATCCAGGAACCATAAGTGTTGAAGAGTACTTCAGACAAACAGTTTACATTTCATACTTAGATTCTCTAATTAACTCAATTGAGAGTCGATTTTGTGAAGCCAACAGTGCACAATTTAACTTAGCGTTGCTACATCCTTCGAAATTGTGCAAACTGAATCGTAAACAGTTTAAGGATATAATGTCTACTATTAATCAGATATACCACATTGTTAATTTTGAAACTGAAGCCTTGAGTTGGTTTGACTTTTTGGAAAACGCGAGAATACAGAAGTAGACAAGATTTTATCGACTTGTACCTTTTACAAAGTTTTATCTGAGTGTCAGGTATGCCTTACTAGTTTTGCTAACATTACCAGCAACAACATGTACTGTGGAGCGATCGTTCAGCACATTACGTCGTGTAAAAACATGGCTTAGATCTGTAATGTCAGATAAACGTCTGTATGGATTGTTTATGTTAAGCAAATCCAGGCTGGCAACGAAACAAATAATGATTTGACCGTTGCTGGTGCTACGTCGTTCATGGTTTGTGCGATTTATGACAGTACTTACAACGAGCCTTGGTGATATCCCCGGGAACTGCCAATATTTTTGCTCATACTTTACTTTTAGCATGTTGAAATGTTTTTCAAAGTGAAAGCCACATTTGAAGGTGATGAAGGTGAGCAATTATTTTTTTTTAATCACATGAAAAAGAAACACAAAGTTAGCACAGTGAGGATACGGTTGAAACAAAGTAAGTGTGATTTGCGCGCCCTTTTAATTAATCAGTACCGGGGCTGCCAGATATTTGAGCTTTAACCCCAGTGAGAGTTCAAAGTTTGAGTAACTGGAAAAAAAAAAACAATAATAACTGAAAGAAAAAAAAAATATTAAACTCAAATCAAAAGAATCTAGAAAAACATCTACCATAAGAAAAAAAATATTTAACACCAAATGAAAAACATCTACCATAAGAAAAAAAATATTTGACTCCAAATGAAAAGCATCTACCATTTAAACGTCAAAAAGACATCTAAATGGAAGGAAAAGCATCTAGAAAAGCATCTCCCCTTTAAACGTCAAAAAGACATCTAAATGGAAGGAAAAACATATGAAAAGCATCTACCATTTAAAACGTCGAAAAGACATCTAAATGGAAGGAAAAACATATGAAAAGCATCTAGAAAAGCATCTACCATTTAAACGTCAAAAAGACATCTTAATGGAAGGAAAAACATCTAAATGTGGATGTAAAACATCCAAAGTGGCAACACTGCACGTCATAGTAAAGCGCGCGCTTTGCAAGAGTGCGCTTTTGCGATGTGAACAACTTGGATGTAGAGAAACCGCGAGAAACTACAACCTAAACACCCTAGAATTTATTGGGAATGTCTCTTGTGACGTCGGGGGGTACGTAAAAAATATTGTACCCAGATAGATCATTGAGGTCTGAGGAGAATGGCACTGCGAGGAGTTACCAGGGGATCTGGTTGACACTCAACACTCAAGAGAAAGGCAAGATGGATATCCAATCAGACAGTTACTGGTGCAATCGGTATTGGAATTCTTTGTTTGCTGCTGAAGGTGGGGATGGAGCGCTTATGGGAGTTTCCCTAGTGCTGTGATGTCGATTCTTAATTCAACATTCAATGGAGTTTGGAGCACCTGTAGATCTCTACATAGTATTGCTATGAATGATAATCCTCAAATATTGAATTAAGATTCGACATCATAGCATTCGGAACACTCCAATGAGCGTTCCGTCCCATCTTCAGTAGCAAACGAAGAGTTCCAATTCCGATAGCACCAGTAACTGATTTTATACCCATCTCGCCTGCCCGTTGAGTGTTGAGCGTTGGCCAGATCCCCTGGTAACTCCTTGCAGTGCCATTCTCCTCAGACCATAGTGATCTATATGATTATCCTCACTGAACACATATACCCCTCCAAGATAGTTTGGATCATGTCATGTTTTGCTACAAAAGTATTAATTCATTATTTTACAGGACTTATTTTGGAGTTGGAAAATTCTCTTGAGGATGTGTTGAAGGACATCAGCAAAGTGGTTAGCATGATGTAATGTACTGGGGACTGTTGGCCGATTGTTTAGTTTGATTGTATCCACTGGTGTTACTGGAGTGCTCTTCTGCAGTTTCCATATGTATACTTGAACATCTGTATGAAAGATATATGTAATTTCCTTGAAAACATGTAAAGGATATATGTAACTATCTTGAACAACTGTGTGAAAGATTTCTATAATTTTCTGAAAAACTTTATGAAAGATATATGTAATTTTCTGAAAAACAGTGTGAAAGATGTATGTAATTTTCTGAAAAACAGTTTGAAAGATATATGTACTTTTCTGAAAAACAGTGTTAAAGATGTATGTAATTTTCTGGAAGAACTGCGAAGGATGAATGTAATTTTCTGAAAAACTATTTGAAGGATATATGTAAATTTTTTTATAACTGTGTGAAGCTTGAATGAACAGCTCTGTGATGGATATGTGTCATTTTCTTGAATAACCAGCTGTGTTAATGATATATGTAATTTGCTTGAACAACTATGTGAAGGATATAATTTTGTTTTTTTTTAAACAGCTGTCCGAAAGGTAAACTAATTGTGTTTAACAACTGTGTGAAGGATATTTGTAATTTTCATGTGTATACTTTAACTACACAAAGAATATATGTAATCTTCTTTAAGGGATGATGCTGTGGTGTTTTTATTTAAATCTGCAAGTCTATTAAATATACCTTTCAATAAATTCAAATGTTCTGGAATATTTTTATGATTTTGTTCATTTTTATCTGTTTCCTGTAAGCACTCTAACAGGGACCCAACTATGTTTCCAGAATTGTCTTTCTTTTTCTTCGTCCATGCCAGGTGGCACTGGTAATCATGACTGCAGCCTTCTATCCTATGTACAATCTATTCTGAAACAGGTCCTTTATGCCATGATTCCAAACTGTCCAGCATCCTCTCTTTTAGTCTCCCTTTATTCCTTTCCTTTCCAACTGTCCTGTTGTCATGCATGGCAGCTGTCTTCTTGTGATGCTCCCAAAGACTACTCTTTTTCTTATTTATGAATTAATTTTCTTTTTTTTTAAATTTCTACAATAAGAAAGTGTCTTGTTTCTGCACTGTCATGTTCCTTTCCTTGGTGGAAATGAATTAATGAAGTGTTGTCTCCACTCCACAATGAAGGTTACATACACTAGATCTTCTGTGGTACAGTGACAGATTCCTGTACACCTGTATATTAGGGCTACAAAGATATTTTTGTATCCAGTATAGTTTAAAATAAGTGTAGGATTTTGGGTGCGAACACGACAGATTTCAGCGAATCTCGAGGTGAGGAAAAGACAATGGTGCTAAATAGGACACACATTAAGAAACTGAATAAAGAGGTTAACTTAAGAATACACTAGTCAAGAGAAGCACTCACAACACTAGGAATCTAGGGAAACCAACAGAAATTAAATCTAATACCAAACATACAATATTTAACTATAACTTGCTATGTTAAGCAGAAACATGAAGAACAACCAAAAAAGTTACTAACTACAAAAATTTATTAACTGCCAGCACAGAATTAAATGGTATGGCAGAATCACCAATGTAGAGCTTTGCCAAAGAATTAAATAAACTTTAGTTTGAAATAGGTGAGGATGAAAAACATTGGATAAGAAACACATTGAGAAAACCTTGTAATAACTATACTGTCCTTGCATTAGAACACTGGAGACGACACCCATTGAGAAAAGCTTGTAATAACTAGAATGTCCTTGTATTATAGCACAGGATAGGGTACACATTGAGAAAACCAGTTTTTTCCCCTCTAAAATCTTGCACCAAAATGTTATCAGTGGTCTCTCTAATAACACCAGATTAATCTGCCATAATTCTCACAGTGAAACAATGATCTTCTTGTATCAGTTCTCTGACTTTTGCAATGAGTTCATCATTACGGACACAAATTTTGCTTCCAGGTCTAGGTGCATTAGTAATCATTTTCAAACCACTTTTGAATCGTGAATCCCACCTGAAAATGTGTGCACGAGATAAACAATTATCCCCATAAACTTATTGCATCAATTCAACTGTTTCAGTGGCGCTTTTTCGGATTTTAAAAAAGAATTTAATGTTAGCTTTTTGCTCCGTGCTGATTACGTAACAATGCACCTCTGACTAGGTCAACAGAATGGCGGCTTGTTGGTTGTCTACTTATCAATCGGCGATGAAAAGTTGCCATAGATGAATGTTGCCTCTTTAGATTCCATGCTTTGCTTCATTGATGGCATTTTTGTTTTGGCCATAATAAAATCAGTCTCATTACCTAGTTGTCGGACCTTCTACATTGAGAAAACCTGGCAATAACTAGCATGCCCTTGCGTTAGAACACTGAGAATAAATACTGAGAATAAATAGAAATGTCCATGTAATAGAATACTGGACAGGACACAGATTGAGAAAACCAGGTAATATAACTAGAATGTCCTTGCGTTCGAACACTGGATAGAACATAGAAAACCTGGTAATAATATAATTAGAATGTCCTTGTGTTAGAATACTGGATACGCCTGTCTCTCTAGCGTAGTTGGCTAAACCGGATTGCACGGTGAGCGGGTGACGAACTCCTTGTGGTCCGGGTTCACTGCCGGGGATGGGCAGAAAAGCCACATTTCTCGCAGATTTACGGTATTTAAAATGGAATCAAGGCCGAAAGGCTGCGATATCCATAATACCGAGCCTAAAGGTTAACAACTCATAGCTTCTGGATACTCAAACAAACAAACAAACAGAATACTGGATATGAAACACACTGAGAAAACCTGACAATAATATGACTATAATGTCGTGTATTAGAAACTGTTGAATGAGATGGGCTCCATTGTATTACAGAGTGCAGAAGAAGTGTAGTTTTATGACAAAGCCATGTGATTAGTGATTAGAAAGGATTATCACAGCACTCCACACAGATCCATAGGTGCTCAGATCTCCTCCTCAAAAGCTCCACAAGTGTAAAACAACTGATGATGCCTGTTGTGTGTTGGTTAATGAAACGTCTCGTCCCCTCCAGACTGCACCTCCATGTCAATCAGTCTAGACAGGGATACAAAGTCAGGTCCTTTGACGTGCTCCTTGGTACGGTAATTGCAGCGCATGGCATTGGTAACATCACTTCTGTCCAGTACTGGACCAGCCATAGCAACCGCAGTGTCAGCAAGATAGTCTGCTCGCTCGTTCCCTCGAACACCCGCATGACCTGACACAAAGACGAAGGTTAGGGCAGATATTTGAGAAGTGCTGAGTGTTGCAATCCCTATTTGCCTGATTAATCCAGCTTGGATTTTTTAAGCATAATTATCGAATCACTAAGAATGCATATGTGTGTGAACTTTTGAGTACTAAGCCATGCTAATGCCATAGTTTCCATTGTAAGGCTACTAGTTGTACAAAGCCATGTCTTTTAACTAAGCCACCACCTCTAAAAGCCTAACTCTACATCATGAGAAGTAGTGAACGGGACAAAGTAGGGGATTCTAAGGATAGGGTGAAGAAAGGTGTGGCCTTGCACCACAGGGCTGCTACATTTGCAAAAGGCCATAGTGGGTCAGCCCGAAACATCCTGGTCAATGGGTCTCTCTCTCTCTCTCTCTCTCTCTCTCTCTCTCTCTCTCTCTCTCTCTCTCTCTCTCTCTCTCTCTCTCTCTCTCTCTCTCTCTCTCTCTCTCTCTCTTTCTCTCTCTCTCTTGACACCTGAGGAAGTGAAGAAGAAGAATATCATTCATGCCCTAATCTCATCATCTTCACACCAACCATTCATCCCTTTCACAAAATTGTAGAAAGCTTATTTTATTGAACTCTTTAATGCTCAGCTAAAGTGACACAATACAATACAACACTGAAATGAAATTGCTATATAAAATAGTAAATGTAAATATTTAAAATTACTGAGAATATCACAAAGTAGACATCATTGTACAATCTGTGATTACAGCGATATAGTTTGAATAAATATACTTTAATTCCACATTTAATTACAGCAAAAAAGTTGTGTATTTACATCAGTGGCCAGGACAAAGCATTTTACAATAGACAACTGGCCGCATTTTCACAAATGGAAAAGAACAAGTAAAATTACATTATATAGAATACTGTATTCTTACAGCCAGGAAATACTTCTCAAGTAAGTTTAATGGAAAACAAGAGTTGTCAAAATGTTAAAACCATCTACCTTAATCAGTGCCAGGCCAGAGAAAAGTAAACTAACATGGCTGATGGATACATGTTTACAAATGGAGGGAAAAAAACTTAGTAAAATTAAACTCTCCAGAAAACTTCTTTACAAGAAAATAATTTTTCCAAGTTTTACAGAAAACAACAGTTGTTAATATTTCAGTGCCCTCTACTTGAATCAGTGCTAGGCCAGAGAAAAGTATATTTAACACAGAAGTTTGGTGGCCTATTCACAAACAGAAAGCACAAAGAAAATTAAACTATCCAGGATAATTTATTCTTACAACTGTGAATGTTCACCTTTGTTAGTTTTTCGGGGAAGGGAACAACAAAACAGTTCATTATTTCAGTGTCACCTTCCTTAATCAGTACTTGGACAGAGCAATTAAAATTACTGCAGAAGATTAGTCACATTTGCAACAAAGGAAAGTTTTAAAAAAAGTTAAATCTAATTATACAGAAAACCTTATTCTCACAACTGTGAATTACTGCCTATTAGGTTTTATGTAAAACAACAGAACTGTCATTAATTCAATGTCATCTCCTTTAATCAGTATTTATCCAGAGCAAAGTACATTAGTAAAGACGTCTGGCCACCTTTTCACAAATAAAATAAAAATACAAAGCAAAACAACTCCTTACAACTGAAAAAACATCAAGTTGTATAGAGAAAAGGATATGGTAAACAAAAGGGTCGCCAAAAACTCAATGTCATCTTTCTTAATCAGTGCTTGACAATAGCAAAGTATGTAAACACTGGCCATGTTTTCACAAATAGAAAACATAAAACAATAAAATTTTACAGAATATGTTATTCTTACAGTCGTGAAAATA